TGTGTCCCTAACCGCCCCGGGAGGGGGAGCCGGGACTCCGAGGTGTCGGCGATCCGGAAACTCCTAACGAACACAAGACGTCCAGCCCGGCCTTCAAGGCCCCACGACCGAGTTTCGGCCGCCCTCAGCCGGTCTCCGCCGCTGCTGGGCCTCGACGCCCCACCGAGACTGCTGCGCCAGCGTAGGCCCACGTGCTCTCCCGCGGATCCGGGCCTCTCTCTGGCTGGCGCCTCGCCTGGAGAGCGGGCCCTGTTACCCCCTCTCTTCTTTCCCCTCCTTTTTTTCCTCCTGTGTGTCTTCTCGCGTCGCCTACTCGTTTACCGGCCTGGTGGTCCCGACTTTTGAGTCAGCGCCCCACTGTGGTTAGCTGTGATCTAGAGGCCAGTCTAGTTCTAGTTCTGCCCCTCCCCCCCTCCCCAAAGCCCAAAGAGAACAGGCAGAAGTTGCGGGGCCTGGCACAATTGTGTGCCCGTTCGTGCCAGTTTACTGACTTTTACACACGCGGTCGCATTTGCTTTGCACAAAGGACCACGGCCCCATTTTACACACGCACTTCAAGATGGTTCAGAGAGCACTGATTTGCCCAAGTTACATAGTAAGGAAGCCTTTTTTGACAACAGGTAGTGTGGGTGGAAAATTAGCGCAAGGTCAAATCTAGTCTACAATATTACAGTACCATCTTGCTTATCACGCTAGATATTTTTAGCTGGGCAGGGTGCCACTCCACATTAGGGAGGCAGAAGCAGGTGGATCTCTAAGTTGAAGGCCAAGCAGGCCTACATAGTGACTGCTGTTCTTTTGCTGAAGTTACCGGCGGCGCGATCGCGATGGAACACGAACCAAGAACATAAACCATGGAGTTTATTAATAAAGGGGGGTAAAGGGGGGGGAGCGAGAGGTGAAGGGGAGAGGAGGGGGAACAAAGGGCAAGAGAGAAGAGCAAGAGGAGAGGCAAGAGCAGAAAGACCATTAAGAGTGTGAGAGCATAAGAGCATAAGTGGGCAGGGGACTGTCTTTTAAAGGCGTCCTTTACACCTGCCTGCAGTACTCATGGAACCCAGGGCTGACCAGAGTACTGCCTGTAACAGAAACTCTATCTAAAAAAAAACGAACAAACAAAAAATAAACAGAACAGAAAATTCAAGGTGGGTGTGGTGGCTCACCTCTGTAATCCAAGATACTCTGGAGGAGCCTGAGTTCAAAGCCAGCTGGGCAATGATATAGAAGAGTCCATTTCAAAAGGAAAAAGAATCAGAGAGCTTAACAGGGAAGCTTGGCATGAGGTAACTGAAGAGGCAGCTCTATCTGTACCTTGATGGCTGTCTTTTTTATTTTTTTGAGACAGGGTTTCTCTGTATTGCTTTGGAACCTGTCCTGGAACTCACTCTGTAGTCCAGGCTGGCCTGGAACTCATAGAGATCCGCCTGCGTCTGCATCCCGAGTGCTGGGATTAAAGGTGTGAGACACCACTGCCTGGCGGTTTTTTTAAAATATGTATTTGTGTGTGCCTGAGCACATGTATGTGCACCACATTCATACGTGAGCCCCCAGAGGTCAGAAGAGGGCATCAGATCTCCTGGAGCTGGAGTAACATGATTAGGAGCCACCATATGGGTGCTCAGAACCAAACCCAAGTCTTGTGCTAAAGCAGTAAATGCTCTTAGCCACTGAGTTCTCTTCCTAACCCTAGTTAGATACTCTTAAAGTGGCAGTTAGGTTCTGGTTGTATAAGAAACTATGGCTGGGGGACTAGAGAGAAGGTTCAGTGGTTGCACTTCCAGTGGTCCTGACTTCAATTCCCAGCAACTACATGGTGGCTCACAACCATCTATGAGATCTGGTGCCCTCTTCTGGTGTGCAGGCAGAACACTGTATACATAATACTTTTTCTTCTTGGTTTTTCTAGATAGGCTTCCTCTGTATAGTTTGGAGCCTATCTTGGCACTTGCTCCGTAGACCAGGCTGGTCTTAAACTCACATCCCAAGTGCTGGGACTAAAGGCATGTGCACTACTGCCTGGCCCATAAATGCATAGAGGGGGAGAGATAGAGAGAGAGAAAGAGAGACACTATGGCCTAGTTGGCCGATGGTGACATATTCCAGCACTTGGGAGGCAGAGGCAGGCGTTCAAGGCCTGCCTGGTATACAGAGCTAGTTTCAAGACAGCTAGGGCTACATAGAGAAACCCTGTTTTGAAAAATAAACAAAATAACAAAAAGTATGGCCCTACAGCATTTTGTCATACATGTGCAACCAAGACCTTTATTATATTACTTGCACTGTGGTTTTGATCTGTCCCCCTCCCTTGTGGGCTTTTCAAGAGGAATGTGGGGAAAGGTAATATAAAAACGTCTGATCCACCATGAGGAGAAAGGGAGATATCCCTGACTATGCATGCCTTCCACCTCAGAATCTTCCTTAAAACTTAAAATCCACAAGGCAGGACACATAGGCTACTTATACTCAGTCATCTTCAAATCCCTAAACTTCAGTTTTAACTGTTTCAGCTGAATTCTCAATGAATAGAAATCATTCTGTAAAAAACAGTTGATGAAGCAGCTGACCTTCATTTTAGCCTAGAAAGCCATCTAACAATAAGTCAAAATTAGTCTCATTTCTGTTTGATTAAATCTGTTTCTCAAGGATCTGTTTCTATGCCCCACCTGTAACCTTAAATATGAATGATTCTTAACTACCTGTTCCAGGAAATTGCAATTACGTCTTTGTTTCAAAAAGTTGTTTATCACCATCTTGAAACCCTACCTTTGTTTCAAAAGGTTGTTATGACTACTTTGTTTCAACAACCTTGCAATCATGTCTTTGTTGTAGGTATGGATGGTTAACTTCCTTTGCTTATGCTTTGCTCCTGCACCAAATCCCCCATTTGGGAACCACCTACCCATAAGCCACAAAAAACACCTTGTCTTCCTCAAATCCAATGTTGACCTCTTGAACCCTGCCTTGGTGGGTGTGCGGGGGAGGGGCAACCCTTGTACAGGAATAAAAAGTTTGTTTTAATTAATTTGGCCATGGTGATTTAGGTTGGTGGTCTTTCTCCTTGCATCTTTGGGATTAACGAACAGACCCTTTTAAAATTTCAAAATGTTATGTATTAAATGTATTATATGTATTAAATGTTTGCTTGTATCCATGTATATGCAACATGTGCATGTTTGGTGTAGCAGAATTCTGAAGAGGGCATCAGATCTCCCAAGACTGGCGCTAGTACTGATTTGTAAGCCACTATTGTGAGTGCTGGGAACAGCCAAGTCTTCACCACTGAGCCATCTGCCCCGCCTAGGAGTTATACCATGGAGTGATGACAGGGTTTTCAATGGAGCAAAGACATGGCCTGACAGAATTTTACAAAGTTCACTGGGGTCTGCTAGGATAGAAAAAGACAAGGAGAGCAGGAAGGGTCCTCCAAAAGCCCCTTTAAGGGACCCATTTAGGGCCAACAGGATTCCTATACACTGAGACACAAACCTCTAAGGACCCTTGAGAAAGACCGCAAAGTTCCAGGCTTTTTTTTTTCTTATTTTTATTTTATATGCATTGGTGCTTTGCCATAGGTATCAGGTCCTCTGTAACTGGAATTACAGACAGTTGTTGAGTGCCATGTGGGTGCTGGGAATTGAATCCCGGTCCTCTGAAAGAGCAGTCAGTGCTCTTAACCACTGAGCCATCTCTCCAGCCCAAGTTCCAGGCTTTTAAGTATGCATCTAACTTCACAAGTCAGGAATAATTAATTTCTGGGGAAGCCAGTCAGATGGCTAAGATCGTGGGAGACTGTCTATGACTATTCCTGAACAATGAGCTGAGTTACCAAGTCTGGCAGGAACTTGCCAACTAAAATGAATGGAGCTAATGAATTAGGCCAGCTTCTTTCCCTGCCTATTGACAATTTACTCAGAACAAGACAGGAACTTGCTTCCTGCTCCCGAGGAAGCTCTGGCACTGGGGAAATAATGGAAGACCTAGAGGCCTGAGGTGGGTCTTCCAAATCCTTGTTGGTGAATTAGCAACCAGACTTTCTGACCATGTCCTGGGCAACATCCTGCCAGGCTCACTGACCACCAGCTTCTGGAGTCCCAGTCACTTCCCTCCTTGGCATTTCACATTTTTCAAGGGTCATGCAGTTTGTAGCTAAGTTCTTGTGAACAACCAGACCTTAGCTTAGGAAATCAGCAGACAGATCTGAAGACTGATTTTCTTTGGGTCTGGACCGCACTATCCAGGCTGGCCTGGATCCCAGTGAGCCTCCTAAATTCTGGGATTACAGGCATGAGCCATGACACCTGCCCCCTCTGAAAGCAACTAAATCATCTAAGACAATCTGCTATTTAATGGATTTAAGGCAAGGAACCCATATAAGATCACCATGGCTGAGGGCTTTGCCTACAACAGTGCCCCTATTCCAACGTCAACCCTTGCTGGGGTTTGTATTTATCCATGCACACACATACACACGCCCACACCAAACCTCAGACAAGGGACCATTTATTAGTAAAGAGACAGACACACACTTGGCTGTGGAGCCTGGAAGCTTCTCTGGCCTACACTGGCCCTGCTTGCTCAGAAAGCTGGTCTTTGCAGATGTCCATGACAACATAGGCTTTGCATCCAGACTAGAAGCCCTGAATGCTCCTGGTGGCTCTGTTCTACTTTACCAGGGTCCCAGTGTCAGGATGGCAAGGGCCCTCAAAGCAGAGATTTAAGTTCTTTCCCAAAGGGCCCTTCCTGGATAAAGCCATGTCCAGTGATCCACAGGTAGAGGTGGGAACTCCCTACCTTATAGCAATACTTCCCCCTCAGGGTGGCCAAAATGCCCCTGCCTTGTTTTGACATCTTAAATTCAAACAATCCCTGTTCTCCCAGCCAAAGGTTGGGAGGATTAAGGTTGTTGTTTTTTGCTTTACCATGTAGTTCCTGGCTGACCTTGTAGAGCCACAAATTTGAGTCTGCCTGCCTTTGCCTCCTGAATGCTGGAATTAAAGGTTGTACACTACTGTGCCCAGCTGAGGGAAGAGTTCTTAACAAGAGGCAGAGGATTTCAGAGCTGCGTCCAGCTTACTGATTTTACAAGTAGAAGTGTCTACTCTATGCTAGGCAGTATTCTAGAAGCTGTGGTACAACTCATACTGGCAAGGTTCCCAACACCTAGCTGGGTTTCCTGAGTATGAACATTATGGTCTTCAGTCTGTTTCTATCTGTTCTCATCCTCCTCATCCCTCCCACCATTTCCCAGGCCTTTCTCTGCCTTCAGCAGCAAATACCCCCCCTCAGGTACTCTGGGCCTCTACCCTCCCTGGACTGTCCATCACTCCATTCCAGCTGGTGACCCCTCCTGGAGGAGGGGCCTTGACCGACCATCCCCTATTCCAAAGGGCCTTAAGACCAGGTGCCCACGCTGGTGCTTGATTCGAGCAGAGCTATCGCTGAAGCCCTTGCCGCACTCTGCACATTTGTATGGCTTCTCCCCAGTATGTGTACGCCTGTGTTTCACTAGATCTGAGCTCCGGGGGGACTCTTTTCCACAGAAACCACACACATGAAGCTGGCTGGGTGTAGAGGCCTGGCCCCGCCCTCGAGACTGAGGGACTATGGGTACTGGACCGGGTGGGTTATGTGGCCGCAGGAGAGTAGATGGTGGTGGTCTGGTGCGCTCACCCTGATGGGTGCGGAGGTGCTTGACTCGGGCAGAACTGTCAGCAAAACCCTTGCCACATTCAGGACAAAGGTAGGGTTTCTCCCCTGTATGCACACGATGGTGTTTGACCAGATCAGAGCTTCGGCGGAAGCCTTTGCCACACTCAGGACACTTGTGAGGCTTGTCACCTGCCAGTGGTGGGGGTGGTTCCCCAGCCTGTGGGCCCACAGGCTCTGGTTCTAAGCCAGGCAGGCCAAAGGGCCCATCACTGGAATGTGAAGGGCTTCGAGGGGTCAGTGAGGGGCTAGTGCCAAGAGGAGGTGGTGGGCTGGGGATGAGGGGAGCTACAGGGTAGGCTGAGAAACTAAAGCCCTGGGGCTCCACATGGGTAAGGCGGTGACGAAGAAGGGTAGAGCTGAGGCTAAAGGTACGGTTACATTCTGGGCAGGCATGAGGTCTCTGGCCACTGTGGGTGCGGAGGTGCTTCACCCGGGCAGAGCTGTCGGCAAAGCCCTTGCCACACTCAGGGCACAGGTAGGGCTTCTCGCCTGTGTGCACCCGCAGGTGCTTCACCAGGTCAGAGCCCCGGGCAAACTCCTTTCTACACACATCACAAGCGAAGGGTTTGGGTCCCAGGTGACTGCGTTGGTGGCTCAGTAGGCTGCAGCTTAGTACAAACCTTTTGCCACAGTCAGTGCAGATATATGGCTTGTCCTGGGCCTTGGGTCTTTGTGTAGCTGCTGGAGCTGCCTGAGATGGCTGCCGCTGGGGAACCACAGGCCGGGGGAGCTGCTCTCCTCTGTGTGTCCGCTGGTGCTTTATTCGGGCAGAACTGTCACCAAAGCCCTTGCCACAGACACCACACTTGTAGGGCTTCTCTCCTGTGTGTGTCCGCTGGTGCTTCACCAGGTCAGAGCTCTGGCCCAAGCTCTTTCCACACTCACCACAGATAGTGGGGCGCTCACCAGCAGGAATCCGGGACCATCCGGGACCGAGGCATCTTGGGAGGACCCGAGGCTGGTGGCCGGACTCGATAGGGCTTCTCACCAGTGTGAGTTCGTTGGTGTTTGATTCGGGCTGAGCTATCCCCAAAGCCCTTGCCACAGACCCCACACTTGTAGGGCTTCTCTCCTGTATGAGTCCTCTGGTGTTTCACCAAATCTGACATCTGCCGGAAGCTCTTACCACACTCGCCACACACTGCAGCTCGGTCATTACTAGCTTGTCCCCATCGGGGTTCTCCCAGGAACCGGGGGGCTGGGTCTCGAGGGGGGGCTGGGTCTCGAGGTTGACGCTTTCCAGTTCCCTCTCGGTGAACCCATAAGTCATCCCAGCTCTGAATGTTTTCAAGTTTGATAGGAGCATGGCCTACTTCATGGACTGGGACTAACTGTTCCTCTTCCTTGAACTTTAAGCCATCCTCCTGTGGACTATGCTCAAACTCATCCACCGGAGAGGCCTCCATGTTCTCACTCCCTAGAACTGGGCAAAGAAAACAGAATTAGAAATCTCACCCTTTGGCTCAACCTCGTTTATTCTTTTAGTGTTTCTGAAGTGGTACCCAAAGCCTCTGCCACTAGTGTTAACTTCCCCTGTAAGACTGAACAATGCATGATCTGAATTTTTTCCCTCTCTACAGAGCTTAGGGAACACAAATTATCTGTCTCTCAATAATTATAAGTTCCACCGTGCTGCATCCCTAGCTCTTTTTGTTTTGAGACAGAGGTTTCGATAACTTGCCCAGGCTGGCCTTAAACTTTCAATCCTGCCGGGCATGGTGGCACATGCTTTTAACCACAGCACTGGGGAGGCAGAGGCAAGTGGATCTGACTTAAAGGCCAGCCAAGAAGGCTACATGGTAAGAACTTGTTTCAAACCAAACACCATTCTCAGCCTACCAAGTTCTGGGATTACAGGTATGAACCACCATCCTGGGTTACTATGCTTTTAATCAACAATCACTAAACTAAACAATATGGGACCCTCAAAATCCTATTAATAATATTATCTTTCTTTTACACTCATGGAAACAAAGAGAATTAAAGTAATTTTTCCTTTTCCTTTCTAGCAGGCCTTCTCTTTAGTTTCCAAACTGCTCCCAAATCATGACATGGAAGCTTGTCCCACTACCTCTTATAACTTAAATTAACCTATTTCTCTTCATCTATATTTTGCCTCAGGGCTTTTTACCTTTCTTTCTGCACGCCCTAATCCATGTCTTGGCTGGCAACTGCCTGGCTGGCCGGTGTTTGCCTCAGGGCTTTTTACCTTTCTTCCTGCACGCCCTAATCCATGTCTTGGCTGGCAACTGCCTGGCTGGCCGGTGTTGGGAGTCTCACTCTTTCTCTTTACTCTCTCCTCCTTATTCTTCACCCCACCTATCCCTCTATGGCCTAACTGTTGGCATTTCATCTTTTTATTAGACCAGTCAGGTGACTTAGGCAAGCAAAGCAACACAACTTTACATAATTAAACAAACGAATAAATAAACAAATACTCCACGACATTTTTTTCCTTTTTTTTTTTTTTTTGACTTTTGTTTTACAAGACTTTACAAGGCTGTCCTGGAACTATGCAGACCAGGCTGGTCTTGAACTCACAGAGATCGCCTGCTTCTGTCTCTGCCCCCCAAGTACTGGAACTAATGGCGTGTGCCACCACTCCCAGCTAAAGTAATTTTCTTAAGGTTCCAAAGTTACAGAACAGCCAAGTTTCTAATTCTCGTCTACCCAAGTCTGTGTTAAATTACAGCATCTCTATTTAGAAAACCTTGTATGTGGTCTTGCTATTGAATCTCTCTTTTTTTTTTTCCTTCAGTTTTTGAAACACTCTTTGAATTCTCTATCATCCTGGGATTGCAGGTATGTGTCACTACCACTGTTCTGTTCCTTGCAACTTCAGTGATCCTGTATACACTCACTTCCCAACAGATACTCTGGGGTGGCAGAAGAGAAACGACAAAGTAGTAATAACTGTAACTGTGGGTTCCTAACAACTCTGTCGAAACAAGAGAGACAGGCGATACATAAGAAGTAAAAAGAGAACTATGGGAAGGAATGGCGTTATTTTGGAAAAGAATACGGAGACCAGTCTGAGTGAGCAAGGTTTGTAGTTAACACTGGGTTCACTAAGGTTCACTTAATAGAAATAAGGAAGGTGAGGAAGGTTTTGAGAAGGGAGCCAGGATTAGTGCTGGATTTATACCAGAATGGCTGCAGAAGGCATGCAGCAGAGCAAAGAGCAGGGGAGGTTATCACAATTGAGCCCGGAGGCCTGCAGTAGAGCCAAGACACTAAGATGAGTAAGGCCCACGGGGGAGGGGAGAGCGGTGGGGA